CCCCAAAACCCCAAAACCCCGTCACTAGAATTACATGAATATAAATATGTGAAAAATAAATACATAAATCATCATTAGATTGATCAGAACGATTCGTCTGAAGAAGTATTAATAAAATTTTGCTTTAAATTTTGAGAAATTAAACCAGATTTTAATCAATTCCACGTAGTACTCCAACAAATCGTAGAATGAAAACTCAAAAGCGAACCATAACTAGAGGTTCTACTTAAAAGATAACTCAATAAATTCAAGACCAATAAAACAGATTAAAGAAGTAAAAGTCAGCAGATAAATTAAACTAAGGCGGCTCTCCGTAGCTGAGAAAAAGAGACTCAAAAGCATAATAAAAATCTGAGAGTGAAAATATTGCAAAGCTTCTCGAATACTACAACGATATGAAATCCCTTCACGAGGGCAAAGAATTACCCACTCGGCAAGTTCACCTTAGAAGGTTAGCTCTCCACTTGATTAAAAGAAATAGTGAGTTCTATAGATTCCCTATTCTCTAGTATGTTGAGGAGACTGCAAAAATCACTCTTATTAATGATTTTGAACTTCTTTATTGGTACCATCTGATGAAAAAGTATTTGAAGAAAGTCCCGGACAACGCAAACCTCAAGAATGAGCAGGTGCGCTTATTCTTCTTCTTGACGTCTATGTTCATAAAGAACTTTCTTTTGAAATCTTAAGCTCAAAGACAGAACCCAAAATTAAATATGGAACATTTTTCCACCTAGATCAGAAGTATCGAAGCATACATCAAAGTCTATCACTATTCTAATTTTGACCAAGCTTACAGAACATTCGATAGATAGAATTTCATTCTTCTTAATCCTATTTATCAAGGAGACGAGAGTTTGACATAAAAAATTATTGCTGATCGGTATGAGTAACTGAGTTATCTGTCAAAGTTGAAAATGAGAGATCTTTAAAAAATTTTCAATTTACTGAGGGAGCCTTTTGAGACGGACCAGAAAAGCAATATCATAGACTACAACTGGCATGTCGATGGAATCCTCAAAAACTCTTAATCATACAATAAATATAGTACTGAAAGAAGAAATGATAATCAGACTGCTAAAGTTATTAGAGCGGAGGATTATCTTCCAGTTAGAAGCAACCTAGCCTTTACTCCAAGATTTAATGAAAAGGTGAGAAAAGCATCTTTTTCAAAGAAAAAATTTCCAAAGAATTACTAATCTACAGAGACCTAAATCACTTTTGAGGGATAGCATCCTCATGAATCTCCGATAATTGACAACCTAAGTAATATGTTTAATCCGTCTGTTACTTAAATTCTTCCATCAGTTCCTCTTTCACTCTCAAATTAGCCCTAAGACTTTAATGACCACAGTCATTTCTAAAATAGTAACACAAATACTAACATAACTACTCCTGGAAATATAAATCAGCCAAGCAACAATGGAAACTTGCCAATCAGCTTTACCAATTTTTTCTAAAATCTTCAATCAATGAACAACCCAGCATTATCCCAGACCTTGAATTTCAATCTGCATGATGCTATCAACAACTCATTGATGGATTTGAATCATGATTTTAAAAGCTCACCTGAGAACCTTCAGAGAAATACTTCATTGATAAGCGCGAAATCATATAATTTAACCCCTACTTAAAGATAGAGCAATGACTAGCTGCAGTATTTTATTAAGAATCATCCAAAGAATAATAATCTTAATAACAATAATGGTTCTTATTTAAATCCATTTGGCCTTCAAAGACTACCTGGAGTAAGTTATAAAGAAAAAGAAAACGAGGTATTTCTAGGTGCAGGCAGCAGCTTTGCAGAATAATTCCTTACCTACAATAATAATGCTACAAATGCACTTTTGAATAATGGAAATACTTAATTAAGCTATGGAAACTTGCTGAATAATAACAATGACAAGAGCTTTATAAATAATTCCTTAAAGCCAAATCAATAAGGTAATACTGGTTCATCCTCAATTAAACTTAACCTTAAAGATATAAACAATATTTAACAGAAAATTCAGCAATTAAATTAATCTAACTTTATCTTAAATGCTCAGAATGACGATGAAGGCTATTTACCAGATCTGAATCTTGACAAGTTTAAATCAGCATCGGAATTTTTGATTGGAGGTCAAAATTTGAATTAGCAATAAATAAGCGATTCATTGGATAGTGTACCCAGATAAACAACTAATGATATTTTAAATGATGATATCTAAAATAGATAGAATTCTTAAGTTGGTAAGGATAATCCCAAAGATTAGCTGAATAGTGAAATGGATTTGGACTGATTTTATCAAAGTAACATACTTTTTTAATCATGCCTCTTAACCATTTGAGAGGAGATATTACTAATATATAAACTTATAACGATAGCAATACTTTAATTTCTTACCTTAATTGTATATTCCTCCATCTCATTTGAGTTCAACTCTTGTGGGGTTTTGGGGTTTTGGGG